TGGAAGGGGACAGCGAGTGAAGGCGACGGGGGCGTCGCTTGAAACATCTGCTCCAGAGCAGAACGGAAAACACTAATGCAGGCGAAACTGCGGTGTTTTGCATGCCCAAAATACACCATCCGTATCGGTGAAAGCGAATCGTAAAGCTTTTGTGTGATAGTGTTGTCCCAAATAGGGCTCGCTTACCCGGTGTGCAATAAGCCAATCTTCACACACTGAGGCGAGGTACTGTTTTATTTCATTTCTGCACAGAGATGGGTGCTAGGTGGCAATTCCGCAAAGCTAGCATGCCGAATCATCAAGTTAGCATCTATTTATAGACATTCATTACCATATTTAATTCCCTAATACATATGCAGTACTATGTTTGGTTGAAATCTCTTCGTCTAGTATTTAAATTAGGGAGCATGCTCAGTTGTCCTTCAATTGGAGTCTGGGGTGTAGTTGTGGTAGGGGGCTCATGATTTGGTGGTTGTCATCTCCCCCTGCCGGAATTACCTTTCCCCTGATTTCCTTCTTGGCAGATCTTAAGCAACTTCTCATGGTTTACCGATCAAGTCAGTAATACATTACCTAGACTTCTGCTCTTAGACAATCTGTTCACTAAACAGAAGCGTAGTCAGGGTGGGGCCTTACAATGGACATCTATAGCAGCACCAGTTTCGGACAACAATAAGGAGGTGATTTTTACGTATTTGGCGTATGTTTGGTCGCAAAGGCTTGACTTTGCCTCTTGAAGTCTCATCTTTGACAGGATGCTGTAGAGCAGTTGCAATACTCGTTAGAGAAAGGTAGTCAGTTTGAAGTGGAGACTTAGGAAAGATCCAGCACTGAAGTATTCTGAAGTACCGAATGTTGATTTGGAGACCACAAGGATATTTGGGGGCATAAAGTTGGAGTAAGGAAAATACTTATTTATTTGAATACTGTATTTTATGTTCAGCATGGTCAGAATGTTATTCTGACTAACTGTCCAAAGTTGCTGGTAGCTATGTCAATAACTTAGTAATGGCATCTCTGCTAGTGGGTAATTCTCTTAGAAGACTGGCATTCTTGATATAACAAGTTACGTATACTGACAAGAAAAACAAATGATGATGAGGATGCAGAATGTGGCAGTATAATAAACCATGCAGCATATTCTGTGATTAAAAATATGTTTTTCTGAAAAAAAAAAATCCGGATCTTAGCATTGAATAATATTTTACTTCTATGGGTGCAAATAATGTAGAGATCAAAACTTGCCTGCATGCTAATTTCTATTTTAAAAATAGTTGCATTAAGGATGTTTTGGTTTATGTACACAGTGTGTTTCAGGAAACTATGTGTTTGCAGTGTTATGCAAAATGTTGCTGGTGAATTTAGATTATTACACTATCAAGTTTCCCTCCTGCCAGTCATGAACTTTTAGCTTGGGCAAATGCTTTCCAGGAACAGCTAACATAACATATTAATTCCTGTGTTTTGTGAACCTAGGAAGGTGCAAGTAAAATCCAGGGACTCAAAAGGAAGGCAGTAAAGATGGAATCGGGCTCTTCTCTGTGATGTCCAGTGACAGGACAACAGGCAATGGGCACAAGTTGAAATATGGGAAATGCCATTTAAACACAAGAGCACTTTTTTTTTTTTTAAAAAAAAACTGTGAGAGTGGTCAAACACTGGAATAAGTTGTCTGGGGAGCTTGTGGAATGTCTATCCTTGGAGTTATTTGAAAACTGACTGGGAAAGGCCCTATGTAACTTAACCTGTTTAATTTGACCCTGCTCTGAGGGACTAGGTGATCTCCAGAAGTCCTTTTGAACCTCACCTATTCTATATGGTACTCTTCAATAATAATACTAAAACTGCAGAAAGAATTTTTATCTGAGGAGATGCAGGAAGACCAACAAAGTTAGAATGACGGCATGTTTTACTTTATTCTTTCTGCTGTGCTTTCACACGAATATTAAAGTTCTGCAAGCAAGTTGTCTTCTGTTAGCAGGACAGATCTTTTCATTAACAGTTTGATATTTCAGACTAAGCATTTCTTAATACAAATATTAGCATAGCAAATTGTGATCTATGAGTTAAATTGGGCAAAACTTGATTAATGGAAAAAAATATGTTTTAAAATTGTCAGGTATTTAGATACAAATTCTTAATTGGTTAAGAGAGTAACAGCTGTTTAGAATTTGCTGCCTTTTACTGGGGAATTTCAATGGCAACACAAAATTCATTACTGTGTATTTATCTTAGACTTTGTATCGATTAGGGGGGTGATTCTCACAAAAATCAGGAATTACATTAATCTATTAGCTGCATTTCTTTTTCAGACACAGGAAATGGTGAACAGCTTTATGAATGTCCAATGTGCAGTCTCACCTGTACAAACATTCAGATTCTTGAAGAACATGTGGATTTACACTTAGAGGAACAAAGCTTTTTGGAAGGTACATGAAAGGATACAGGCTTGATAATACTTTAAAGCATTTACAAGTATTTGCATGTTGCAGTATAGAATCTCAGACAAAATTTAAATATTTCCTTATTTAAAAAGAGAACTGGACGCATACATAATGAAGTTAACATAGTTAATAGCAAGTCCTATCATTTGCCCAAGTGCTCTACTTAATTACATATGCTAAAAGAAATATTGTCTACACGTGCTTGTTAAGTAAATGCAATGTGTGTTAGCCAAAACTAAAACTTAGAGCGAAAAATGTTTACAAGACAGCCATATTATATTTTTTTTTTGTCCTAGCTCTATAGGAGGTTTACATACATGGAATTTAGAGTGGCACGTTCCAGTGTGATGAGCTGAAAATCTACAGCTTACAAAAACTTCAATTTTTTTTCTCAGTTCTTTTCTCTAAATGCTTGTGCTGATTCATTAGTCATAGTGATAAAGTAAAGGAATCAAAATTAATTTTATTTATTAGCATGACTAATAAAATCCTAGAGATTCCCTATCCAGTTCTCTGATCCTAAATTTGTTTTTGTCACACTGTTACGAGACCACTGGCAGTGATCCTAGAAGCTAATAAGTGTGTGGTATTCAAGAAACGGGGACTTCTTGCTAACAGTGAAGTGAAACATAGTAAACAAAAGCTGTTTTCTTAGTAGTAGAGGTACGTGCATTATTTGTCAAGTAATTGCCTCTGTCACTCTGCATAAACTTTGTCCAAGTCAAGAGTCTGAGTCTCAGTAGACTGAATGCAGTCAGTCCTGTTTCATGTTTACTGCTAATAGCTCAAAATAGTGTGAGGTGCATCTCCTAAAATTAATGCCCAGATCCATCACAGCATTGTTAACCCCTTGATCAAATCCTCTCTCTTTGAAATGTTATTCCTCGGTAGGTGGAAACATAAGAGATCTAGAACTGGCTCAGCAACTCCAAACTGAAGAAGACAAGTGGCAGAGATCAGAAGAAGAGAAGCGAGAGAGGGAAGAATTTAAAAAGCTGCAAGTACGGTAATATTTCTATATGGTAAAAATTGTGAACAGTTGTGCCATTAAAAGCTGAGTATCTTGAAACTGTAATGACTTGGGACAGACATACCAGGTCAGACCTGTACAGTCAGACAGGCTGTGTTGAGGTGGTGGTGCAGGAGTGGGTTGCAGGCAAACATGGGCTCTGAGCAACCCTGATCCTGGCACAGGTTCTGGGCATGCCTGCCTTGAGCTACTTGGCTTTACTGCTTTGAGTGGTGCTGGCTCAGGATGGGGCTGGGTGCTCCCTGTGGATGCCATATCACTCTCACCAGGGGCCCTGGCATGCCTGTCGCCTCGCAGTGTGCTCCACCCAGCTCTAGTGCTCTGTCTTGCAGCGTAGCCTGGAGTGTATTCCCTGGCAGAGCGCCTGAGGCCCTGAGCAGCCTGGCTATCCTCTTCCTGGGTACCATCACCTGCTCTGGTGACCACTCCTCTGCTAGGTCCTGCTTCCCTCTACTTCCCACCTGATAGCCCTGATAGCTCATTTCCCGCTCGCTCTTGCTACCTCCTGGCCATTGACTGCCTCTGTGCCAATGGCTGTCTGCCCAAGAGGGAGCAGAGGGATGTGCCTGCTCTTCCAGGTGTGGCTTTCCTAGTCCCACATTCCTATTTAGGAGTGAAGCTTGGCCTTCAGCTCTAAAATATCATAAATCTGAAGTGTATGTGTCACTGTTCACTATTTTTCAAAGTTACTGATTGTGCATGCAGCTTCTTGAAATCACTAAAAGTTAATTTAAAAAATGTGATTTAAATCATGCACGTTCCATCCCTAACAGAGACAGTATGGCTTGGAAAATTCTGGAGGCTACAAGCAGCAATTCCTAAAGAATATGGAAAGGGAAGTTGATAGAGGAAGGATGCAGCCTTTTGAATATCACAAGAGAAAAGCTGACATGATGGAATGTCTGGCTTTTGGTATAGATGATGGGAAAACAAAGACCTCAGGTAAAAATGCTGAAATTATACAGCTAAGACTGTACTTTTTAGACCTAGGTTGTAATGACCAAACCTGTCTTTAATGAAGCATGTAATTGGATGTTTAATATTGGTTATGTCCCAATTCTAATCCTTATTTTTGAGATCAGTCTATACCATTTTAGTCCTAAACTAATAGGTAAATTAAAGCTTGGTATATTTCTAATCTCTATTCTAACCTGAAGACTTTTTTTCTTCTTTTTTTTTGTTTTTTCTCTTTTCCTATGGAACCTTGGAACCAAGTTTTCTGGTTAAGGGCCCAGATACAATATGTAACAAAAGATGCAAATGTCTTATTACAAGTTGTTTGTCCTTGAGTGTATGCTTGTTTAATACTTAGTACTCACTGGTTCCTAACCTAGTGTAGCTGTTAAAATTTACAGTAGCTTTTTATCTTGTGTTTCAGTGAGTTGTAGTATCATGTAAGCTGGTCCCAGGTAAGCACAGCATTCATCTGATTACGAAGTCCAAGAGAGTACTGGGAGGAGTAGATGTCTAGTTGATACATCTTCTTTGAAATGTTTTATAATTGGTACAAAAATACAGTACTGATGGATTTCTGTGTCCCTTTCACAAGGCTTCCTTGTCTTTACTTGCCAAGACCACAGTTCAAAGGTCTTTTAGGTTATTGCTAGTGGTTCTATCTTACAAAATATCCATTTGGTTCTTGACAGGTAAAATAAGTCTTCTTCTATAAAATGCAGAGTGGAAATAATATATTTGAAGTTTTCATTCTTAGTAATGATGTAGACTTCAGAGAGGAATTCAGAAAATAATCTGTGATGGCTATGGAATGATTGTCTTCACAATAGCATGGCAATAAAGGGCCTTTGAGAATTTACATATACAAATTGGAGAGAGCATTCCTAAGCATGTTTTTTCATGTAACAAAGGAGGATTTGGAATATCCTGCAAGTGGATTTTTTAAAAATATTTACAGTAGTTCTTGAATCCTGCACCATTCCTTTTCTTGTCAGTTTCTCCAGGAAAGATAATTTGGGGGAATAAAAAGATTACATACTAATTACATAGTAATAGCATAAGTATTTCCATGTTTTTAAATGGGTGTTTTACTGGAGGTGGCAGTGGCATAGAAATGCTTTATCAGTGACATTACTTTTCCTGTTTCATTGTAATAGTTCCTGTGCATATCGCATATCATCATAGCGTAGTCTGAGCTGTTTAATAGAAAATATTCACTGGGCAGCAGCAGTGAAAAAACAGTTTGAATTCCAGAAGCTTTGTAGTACATAAGTTTATCAAGACCATCAAAATGAAATAGGTGTAATGTCCACTGGTTTTGTAATTTGGGTTCTAGATGTAACGTATGATCACTTAGAAGTTTTAAAATAAATAGTCTTAACCTGTATCTGTTCTAAGCTGGGGAAAGAATCTTTTTCTGTCCACTTTTGTAGTTCATTTTACAGATAAACTTTATATTTGGTCTTCTTTTAGGGGTCATTGAAGCATTGTGCAAGTACTATCAGAACGAAAACAAAGATGTGAGGCGTGTATGGCTTTCAACAGGAGTAGATCACTTCCACTCATCTTTGGGCGACAGAGGCTGGGGTTGCGGTTACAGGAACTTCCAAATGCTCCTTTCCTCACTGTTGCAAAACAGCTTGTATAATGACTCCTTGAGAGGTATTAAACAAAACACTGCCTATTTATTTCACCTACCTCAGATGACAACCTACTGACTGATGTTTTACCTTTTCATTTACACAGCAAGGCTTACTAGGTCAATGATACCTATTAAATGTTTGTTATACCACTGCAACTTACTGTGGAAAGAATCAGAGTGGTGAATACTGGCAAGGCATGATGTGGTTGAAGTTTTAGCTTTAGGGTTTTTTTGGTGCATCTTTGTAACATTAACTGCCTCTTATAAAAGAAGCTGAATATTTGTAATTAATAGACTATTTCAGTAACTGTAACCGCAATTCAAAAGCTTTTCTGTTCCAGATACTACACGAATTCCTAGTATACCAAAGATTCAGTCCATGATTGAAGATGCCTGGAAAGAAGGCTTTGATCCTCAGGGGGCATCTCACTTCAACAACAGATTATATGGTTCCAAAGCATGGATAGGAGCATGTGAAATTTATTCACTGTTAACCAGTCTCAGGATAAAGTAAATATTGCTTTTTTTGTTGTTGTTACTTCTAAGCGCTGATTTAAGTGCTGTACCTTTGAAGGTCAGAATTGCCAATGGTGCAGTGACAAAGCCACCTTAGTGGCTTTAAATTTAACCAACCTATAAACAGATCTGGTTTAGCACAGTATAAAGCTGTGTAACTACTTATGCAGGGACATAAATTGAATAAATATTTAGATCATTGAGACTTGGTGCCGAATGATGCCACATGTGCATAAAATCAAACATTGATTAAAACCTTAATTTCTCAAGAAGTTTCTTCTTAGGAAAAAATCTGAATTTCAGCAATTCACTTCCATAATTATGAAAGCTGTTTATTGGATTCTCTAGTGTACGTGTTTCACACAAAAAATCAAACATTTTAATTTTTGTAAGCTTCCCAAGTTCTTGTTAGACTGAATGGAGTAGAGTGTTTGTTACAGAATAAACCTTCCAATTTTGAACAGTATATATTGCATTGCTTTGTAATTATGTGTCCCCTACTCCTGTATTTAAAAAAAAAAAAAAAAAGTGGTAATGACCACTTGACTCCTGGAATTGCTGTATTTACAAAACATTCTTGGTGCCTGAGGAAGGGACTGAGAGATGAAAAAATTGTTTTTAACAGACAACCTGCTTGAAATTTCATTGTTTTTTTCATTCTAAATGTTCTGTAGGTGTCAAATCATTGACTTTCACAAACCAACTGGCCCTATGGGTACACACCCTCGTTTATTTGAGTGGGTTTTGCGTTACTATTCTACAGATAACGAAGGTGGTGCAAAGGTAGTGTGTACTTCCAAACCATCTATCTACTTGCAACATCAAGGTCAGTATCACAATATGCCCGTTTCTTTCTATTGTCTATCTTTCATTATATGTGCCGCAATTCAGAGCAGCATTTTGCACTCCTCCTTCATTTAATTGAAGGCATGGCTTTACTTCCTATTATTTTTTTATTTAGGAAGAGCAGCATTAAAGTTTGTATTTTTATTGGATGGAAGAGATGGGTGTGACTAGGATCTCAACTTTTTGACATCTGCTCTTCACTTATAACTACCTTATTAGATTTCAAGTAAATTCTTCCTTGATCTGAAAAATAAGTGGTATGCTATGAGGAAGTAAGTGGGATTTATGTGTTTTTAAAATACTGAAAATCTATTTTGCAATTAGGTCATAGTCGTACTGTTGTTGGAATAGAAGAGAGGAAGAATAGAACCTTATGTTTGCTACTGTTTGACCCGGGATGTCCTTCCCAAGAAATGCAGAAACTGCTAAAACAGAACAGTGATGGTACTAGTCTCAAACTACTTCGGAAATTTGTGGGTAGCTTAAAAGAAAAGCAGTACCAGATAGTGGCTGTAGATGGTGTACTCTCATTGGAAGAGAAAGCTGTAAGTATTTTGGAAAACAGTTTCTGTCTAAGAAAATTTAAGAGAATCTACATTTCTTCTTTAATACTCAAATGCATATGCATATGTGGTTGCATGGTGAATTTTTTTCATCTCTTCACTTTCTTCGTTGTTATTCTCTGCTACTTTCTGCTTAATCTCTGAATTGAGTAATCACAGGGTACCAATACTAGAAAGGTTTTGCATGTAAATACGTGCCACCTTCATGTAACTGACTTCTAAGTCTTATGAAGCTCACAGCTGTTTGCATATGTAAATTAGGGTTCTTTTTTTTCTTTTCATTTTCTTACAGTATTTTCTCCTAAGTAACTTATTGTGGGCATATAAGGTACTTAAGAAGCATTCACAGTCCAAAATTGTGTTCAGGGAGTTTTATTGCAACTTTGTAAAGCTATGTGGTGTCTACCAGCCTTTGATAGTTGAAGAACAAGGTGCACAGATACTGAGTCCTAACCGTCCAATGTCTCCTCAGCTTGGACACTAGAACTAGTGCTTCTGCTTTCTGAAAGTACTTAGAACTTCATATATTCAAAACACACCTCTGAGCAACTTATATGTTTGAGCTGTCAGCGTTTTTATAAATCCTATCCACATGTTTGAGCATTGTAACTTTTTAAGACCTTAGAAGTTTTCAGCTGAATGTCAGATGTGGCTTTTGTTTCTTAAGCTTTCTCTTTCCTACATTAACAAATTGATTCTGAGGAACCATGTTCTGATTCTGTGGTGTCTTATCAACACTGCTCAACATGTTCAAGCATTAAGGCAGACTTTTATTTAAACTATGAAATAGCTGGTGACTGAGTCACCTGCTCAACTATATTTAACATCTATATATTGAAATGAGGTATTGTCTTAAGTGTTTTCTGGCCCTGAACATGTCAGAAGTAGCAATGAAACACAGCCAACCTCTTTTCCTCCTACTGGCAAAAATCTTTACAATTCGGGACACAGTAAAAGGAAGAGTGTGCTTTGGTTTTATTTTTTTTCCTCTTTTCAAAGATTTTATTTGTATTTAAAAATACCAGTTATTTAGAATTTTGTCTTGAAAGCTCCCATTTAGTTAAGATGAAATATAACCCCTTATATTTGTTAAGCTTACTAGACTACTAATTTGGAAAATGCTCTTTAACGTAGTATTTTCATTCATGAAGCTATTCTCCCCACTTTTTTTTTAGGCTCGCTGCCATGCTTCTCAGGTATTAACATCAGAGAAGATTCCTTAAAGGATGCCTTTACTACCTCTTTTGGAATCTGCTGGATGCAAAACATTTAACTTCTGGACTGTGACCCTAACTCAGCAATTTCTAGACTTAAACTATGTCTCCATAAACGTTTGGGGGCTCTGGAGAAGCACCACACTGGAGTAAAACCTGTAGTTTTGATCTTCAGTTAAAACTCTGCCCTCCTGATGAATCTGTAACTCTGAAGTATTACAGTCCTTGTCTTTCTAGAAAATTTGCTGTTTTCTTAGTTGTTTAAATTGCAAAGCAACACCTGCCATCCCGTAGCAAATTATGCACCATAGTTAACTGTCGATAAGCAGTGGATAGAGATACTATGGAAGCTACTTTATTGGAGTGCCGCTGTAAATACATTTAGGCTGACTCTGGCCAATGCTCTATTTCTTACCAAATTTGATCAACAAGCACCTATTATGCCTCAGCAAATTCTTCTGCAACTATTCACAAAGTACAGAGACAGTTCAATGATTCAATGTGATACAGTCTGTTGCACAAGGGATTAGTTTACTACTGAACTTCTTTCAGTTAGCTGGCTTATCTAGATATATCACTTGTAAACATGAACGTGTGTGCTTATGAGGTGGATCAGTGTTAGCGCTGGCGGCGAGGGCTAAGATAGCGGTGTCCAGAGTGGGGTGTGTGTGCTCTAGGGGCTACGCGAGACAATGCATTGGGGAACAGGAAGAAAATATTTCTTTTGTACCATGAATAAATAGAATTAAAAAAATATTTTTAAAAGTGTTTATTTCACCTTTATTTCACCCTTTTTTTAAATTTCTGGTTTTTGTGTGTGTTTTATAATGTATAGCTCCTAGGCTTCGGAGGCATCTCAAAAGGACATTTGAGCTGCCTGTTGACTAGGGGCTCCATTGTGCAGGGTTAGTGCCCTTTAAGACACTGGAGCTGTCTGCTGAGACAAGTATCTTGGGTGCTTGAGGTGCCCTGCTGCTCTGGCTGGATGTGAGAGTCGTGCCTCTCCCGCAGGGCAGCTGGAGGCTGGGAAGGATGGTCGAGTGTGTTGCAAATAGCACTGGATGCCTTTGTTTAAGCGACTGAATGATGCCATGGCATCCATTTGCTGTAACTAGATTTTAGATACTTCCCTCTCTTAGGCTCTTACATGTTGACTCCTAGATGTAGGTGTTGGAGTTTTACCATTAATCTGTTTTTCTCATGTTTAATATGCTCTGGCAATAAGAACTAGTAATCTTTGGAAGTAGTGAAATGCATGAACGTGTAAAGATACTATGACCCGTAAATGAATAATTTTTCTGAAACATGCATGGAAGTAAACATTTTAATTAGGAAAATGCATTCATTCCAGTAGGTATGTAGAAGTGACCTATAACCTGTGAAAAGGTTTTTTATTTAGGACACTGAAGGGGCTGAGACTAGGGACAGAGTTCCTGGGAACTGGGGGACCATCAGCTCCCACATTAGCCCTGGTCTGCATGGCACGTGTTCTTATGCCATGTGAGGTTTTGCAGCCACGCGATCATTTAACCTCTCATGGATACGCTTCAATCTCTTCTGCACTGTTCCTCAGCTTCTCTGTGACTGGGGCTGAGTCTGTTCCTGCTTAAGGCTCTGCTAATTCCAGACGGAGCATGTTCTGTACCAGTGTGATACTGTGCCCAGATGCGTAGGCCGAAGAAGCAGGAATTGCAGCTCAGCCCCAGCTCTTCACTAATGTGTTCAAACTGCCACTGGGACTAAGCTGGTGTTTCAGTGAAATGCTGTAATGTGCCAAATTTGAAATACCTCTTTGTACTGGCTTGTACGTGCTGTTTGACTCCTATGTAGTCACCATGGGGCAGCTAGATAGTAAGTGAGCAGAAGAGCGGGAGTCTCACTTGATCCAGCTGAAGATGCCTCCACGAGGGCCCTTGCAACAGCGATTCCTGGCACCACCTGGGCAGCGACCAGCCGCTTGAGACGTCCAACTCCCTGTGTAAGCATGACCTTATGCCAAGATCCCAATAAATTTTGTTGTCTTTGGGGTTTTTTTGTTGTTGTTTGTTTTTTAAGAAGCACTCTGGGAGTGTAAGAGCAACACAAGCCTAATTACAGATTTATTAATGTCAAGTTTCTGGTGTCTCACTTGTTTCAGCTTGACTCCAGGAATACCATGTAAAGGTCCAACCAACCAAGCAGCTGGGCAGGGTAATGGGGTAACTTTCAAACATTAGGTGGGCAGCACTGGAAAGAAAACAGTGGGGTAACAAAATGTAAAAATAACCCTAATGAGACTCAGGACTATAGCCTGAATTGCTACCAAAAGTTTGCCCTGAGAGAGACAATGAGTGCATTTAGGCTCAATGCTAATTAAAATAACTTCTTAACAGGTATTGCCTCTTATCATCAGACTCCCCTGGGTTCACAGAAGCTGAACTTTTTATCTTCTTTGCAAATAGTTGCCTCAGAGAACAATGGGATCCTGTTTGAATCTATTCACAACACCCTGAATATTTGGTTAACCACTTGGGTGAAGAAACTGATGGTGTGTTCCTGAAATTCCAAAGCAGCTTTTGATCCGCTTTTCTCTTCCCAGGTGGCAGGGCAACAGAAGGAGTAGTAAGTACACTTTTTGTATTCAGAAGTAAATCACAGAGACCTGTCATTGCTGGAGATCCTAGCTGCCTGTGTTCAGCTGCAAACTATTTTCTGAAAAAAGCAGTGAAGGAGTGTCTGCAAACCTACGCAAGACAGAGCACAAGCTGATTACTGAAAGGCCTCCTGAGTCTGCTATACATTGAGTGCTGAAGCACTTTATTCTTTACATGGAGGAAACTGACTGTCAGAAAAGCCTCAGGTGATTAGTGTGAAAATTGTCACTTGGGTTCATCAGAAGCTGTAACTGTTTTACCATGATTTTGAAAATGTGTTCATTTCTCTTTGGGAACAATGTCAAAACTCTCTGTAAATTCAAAATTTTGGGGGCAAAGTGCTTCATTCTTTTTTGTCTATTTATATTCAATTAATCTTATATATGACTTGTCCAAATACTTTATTTACTGTAATATTAAGAACTTATAGAGACTTTAATGTGAACATTATTTTGAAGAAAAAAATCAAGTAATCTAATTCTAGTATGCTAGTAATATTCTAGTAATTCTAGTATTTAATTCGAATTCACATTGCTTTATAGATAGGCATTTTTTGATTAAATGTTCCTAATTGAAGGTTCCAATGAAAAATGTGGATTTTGGTGACCCCTAGGTTTTTCTCACAGAAACAATTTTGACACATTCTAATTATTCTCTTGGGCTATACGGCAGTGAATTTCATTGCACCCTCCAGCCCTGAAATTGACGATTTCCTCTGCACAGACAAAAGCTCACCTGTACAGAGTGTTTTCTAGTGTATTATTTCAGTGCTGTTCCTCTCCTTTCTACAGGTGGCATGGGGACATCCCAGGGAGTCATGCAGGAGGCATCTGTAGCCTGGAGAGAAGTGGTAAGTTTTAATTCCATCTCATGGTTATTTCATAATAGTTTTCATATGCAGAGAATGGTCAGACAACACTGCATGGATTGCACTGCATCTTCCATGCAAGCACAGCAAATAAAGGTGCTTTATGGTTTTTTTAATGGCAGTCAGATTTAGAGATGAAGAGTTTAGGGAAGGGTGTTGCTATGATGAACTGCTGCCATTTGAGCCCTAATTATAAAACCGGTATTCTTCATACCTTATGTATTGCTAAGCAGCAAGTGCTGAGAGGGCTTATGTTCCAGTTGGGAAGCATTTATTTCCTGAAAACTGTCAGGTGTCATACATCAGTGTTTCTTTATTCTGTAGTATCAGCACAAAATCAGCATTCATCTCTGCCTATTCTAGCATCTTGGGTGATAAATTCATCCTCACGGAGAATTTGTGTCTGTTTCTACATCACATCTAATTAATGTTTTGATGTAACATATCTTCCCTGAGTTAAAAAAAAAAAAGGTTTCTTGCAGACCATCTGTGTCTATAGAAAATTTAAGGATAGGTTAGTCTTTATTAATTCCTTCAAAAGCATAATCAGGTTAGAGAAATCAAATCTGGAGGATGTCCTGAAGAGCGAAAAGATAATGGTGTATCAGCTGTCACTTAAGCAAAGCAGTTATTATTGCGTAAAGAAGTAAGTTTCTCCTAAACAAATAGGAGAGGAAATATCATAAAGCTCTTGCTTGAGGAAGGCATAAAACATAGGTATGCAACTACTCCCCCATCAAGTTTCCCACTTTTCACACAGCACATCCATTACTGACAATGAATCCTGGAAATGTGATATTTTACTTATTAAATTTTTTTTTTTTTTAAAGTTGAATAAATAACCTCTTTATATATCTCAGTAAAAAATCCAAAAGTAAAAAAAAAACCCAAACAACTCCTTTAACATTAACTGTTTCTCAATTCCTTCTCTCTAATCTTTAACTCCAGAACTTTTCCTTCTGATTTTTCTCTTCTTTTTCCTTTCCCCATCATCTTCAAATAAAAGCAATGTTATATGGGTGAGGTTTATGGCAGCAGTTCCCTGTTACTGTCCTACATGGCTTATGATACTTGCATACCATGAGTCCACAGTAGTTCATGCATTAATAGATTATTTCTGTGTCTTTTTTCTCCCCTACTTGTTATGGCAATCTCATTGTTAGATCAGGGTAAAGTTTAGTGTATGCACAGGAATGACTTTTTCTTTCTTACGAAGAAAGTATTGAGCAATAAGTACCAATAAGCTACTTTTGCAACCAGATGTGCCAAAAGCACTTAAGCAGCTGAGATGCACTTAATAAGTGTTGATAGTGGTACAATGAAAATTATTGCCTCAGATCAAAAGAGGTTCTTAAAATGATGTAAGAAAACTAGTCAAATCTACACAAAGCTTCATAACAGAAGTTTTAACCTACACACAGGTTTTGTTATAAAACATAGGTAAGACTGATCCTGCTTGTCTTGACTCTGGTCCCTTTTTTTCTTTATGCAACTTTCAGATACTGCCTGGAAATTCCAAGGAAAAAATAAAGGCTGGTCAGTTTGACAACATGCTGTTGGTTCTGTTAAAAAAACTTTCTCCATGTGTCTATGCATCAGCATTCTTTTGGTTTATTTCTTCACCTGCTTTTGTTCTGATCACAGGAGCAGGGTGACTGACACCATGGCATTTTCTCCATTTTACATCTCCATCTGAATGCTCATTCCTCTCTCTTGAGATCACAAGAATATCTTGTATGTTGTTGGTTTCACGTATGGCCAGTGTAGCTGGGTGTATGCATTTGTTTTGCCTGTGGTGTGATAGAAGGAAGTGTGTCCCAAAGTTTACATTGTTTTATTAACATTTACTATTGACATTTCATTTATCAATTCATTATAAAAAAACATTATGAATGTATACTGAAGTAATGCCTAAAAGCCCAAGTACCTAGACAAAGTCCATAATGCTAACAAGTGCACACACAGAGGACTAATGCATTTACAATCTAAAAATTGTAAAAACAGATGGACATAGCCATCTCCCGGAGAAAAAAGAAATAAGAAGACAGAATTAGTCAGTGTGATAGACAATGATCACAGCAGTGACTGTCCATCTGCTGGCAAGTGGTTTCCAGGTATCATAGCATAGGTCATCTGCAGAAGGGATTTAAAGAAGAAAAATTATCTTGTTTTGTAGGTATTTAGAAGGAATTTGTCGTAGGCATGATGAAGAATATCATAGGAGAGTGATGGAAGATAATACAAAGGTCACTTAAAGGTCCTTAATGCTGAATGAGAGAAAAGAGATAGGAGGAAATAGGTAGAGGACAGAAACCCAGACAAAATTCCAGATAGGAAAGTCTCTCTTTCCAAGTATATTTTAACCCACATAAGACAATGCTTGTGATATCCAAGTCTGGAAGTGAACTTGCTTATGTCATTTCTGCCAAGGCCTGTACATTGTCTAATGGTATTAATAAATAGTTCATCTACAGAGCAGGGAGGGAGAGACCGGGATGTTAAGCTCACTGAAATCCATGGCTGTATCGTTCAGCTCAAAGACTGCAGAAGACATACAGACCAAACCCTTCAAGTCTAGATGCTCCATTTGGCTCTGGCTCAGCTACAAGAGTCAGTCTTTTTCTTCAGTCTCTCTGTTACTCTTCCTGTATCTCCCCAAGCATTTGCTCTTCCCTAGTCACCACAACAATGATGATTAATGTCTTTTTCTGGCAAATATAAGGCAATGGTATTGATGAGACACAAGAGAACAATCTCATAAAATCATTAGGCATGTTTAAGAAAATAACACACGTTCATGATCACCCATCCTAGTTTGCAGAAATTATGCTTGCTATGGGAGAAACATTAGTAATGAGACAGAGAATAAGTAGAAGGAGGCAGGAATTGTAATAAGACATTCTGAACACAGTTTCAGTCACAAAATTCAGAATGAGAGCTTGGTATTTAAGCTAACTCTGTTCAAGAGCTACTGATAGCCCAAAGAAAATTCTACAGTCACTCAGATCCTAGAGGAATTTTGACAAATGATTTTTACATAGGTTGCCTTCAGTTACATTAGTTTTCACATGCACATAGCATACACTTGTATATGAGTAAAGGGTATTGCTATGCACCTTTCTTTTTCATTAGAAATGTATCCTGAGTGATGTTCTTGTGAAAACCTGAAAGCTAAATTTCAGTGTATTGTTTCCAGAATTTAACTGAAATACATTTTGCTAAAATTTGCCAGCACTGGATTCTTTGTTTGAATTACTCATTTGTTTATTTGTTTTGTTTGTTTCTGTGAGATGACAACCAAAGAAAAAGATATAACTTTATATTTTCTTATTGCAGGTTATTCGCCTATAGGGACAACAGATTAACAACGGAACCATCAAAAGAGTATCTATTCAAATACAAAGGGTTTTATTTTGGTGTAAATACTTCACTTGAGTATGTAGTTTTCCTGGTGGATTTTGAAATCAAAGATAGTGTCATATTTATAACTACTTACCCAAAATCAGGTAAGAATGGAATTGTTTCTAAAGAGGGCAAAAATCTTCCTTCATTCAGCCATTTAACTGCAGAAGTACCTAGGGTTGTTAGCTTTGCTTTTAGAACTGAATCGCCTCTGAGTATGTGCAGTGTAGCATGAAGTACAAACCCTGCATAGCCATGGCCTGAACAGCCTGAACACAAGGTTCCTGCTCACATCCAACTGAATTGGGCTACCTCGTTTCTGGACTCAGTCTTGCAGGTGTACTCAGAGCAAGCTACACACAAACCAAACTGACCTCCTGTGCCTCATGAAACACATATATAATTTTGGCAGGGCTGGGTGCATGAGTGTTGGAGATGATTGTGGGGTATCTGGAATGATTTGTGGGCTCACATGGAAGGTGGTTTGGGGGTTGCTGCATCCAAATTACAACCAAGTAGGAGATCAGAGCAAATATGAGTCAATGATGTACACCTCCTTTCAAGGGTAATGAAGTATTATTTACCTACATGGCAATACAGGACACTAGTGTGATGAGTTCTGCATTCCTATTTGTGAAGCAAATGCAACTGAACAACCACCTGGCTTCACTGCCATCGTACATGAAATGTAAAGCCTTGACATACTTAGACCTGTGTCTTTCCATACAGGGTCACTTTATGCTCTAAAACTGGTCCACCCATTTTCCAAGGCTGCATTTCTTTAGTGATTAGTAATTAATGACTTGATCATGTATTAAGCAGTGATTTATGACTAAAGCCGCAACACCTCTGGTACCAATCTGTGCTTGTACTTTCAAGGCCTCTGCTATCCTTTTCGGTTTGTGCTCTTGGGAACCTCTGCTGTTTTCCTTTGGTTTACTTCAGCAGCCTTCAAGATGGTGCCTTTGGATAACATAGCCAGTGTTTTGTTAGCATATGTCCTTTTCCTAGGGTCACTGAACATCTTGCTGGAATTCACTATTCCCTCAGGTATTCAGTGAAATACCTGAGGCAGAAAGACATCCTTGAGTGAAGCCCAGAAGGAGTGGCAGCAAGCACCAGGTGTGGTTGTGATGAAGGTAGATGCGGTACGAGAAGCCTGTGGAGGGATCGTGGACAACAGAGCGAGGGGACAGGGAGCCCAGGCGATGCTAGCTCCTGGCCAGGCAGCACTGGGGTGAGCTGTCCAAGTAAGGCAGAGAGGGAGGATGAGAAGGCAGTATTTAAGGGGTAAAGATGTCATGGCACTGAGATGACCATATCTTTGGAAGCAGGAGTTTTGTGTTGCAAAGTGATGGGCTACCCTGGGACAGGAGGGAGTTGGAAGATGATTTTGAGTTATGAGTTGCACAGAATGTTCTCTCTCTCTCATTCACACCTTTTCCTCTATCCTGCCCCACCATCCTCTTTCTTCCTCACCAGTTATCAGTCTAAGGTACCCTCCAATCCTTCTGTTGAATTTCTACCACTGCGCAGAAAAATTGTCCAGGTTAATTATGCCAAGAAGCACTAGACAGTCAACACAGCTGTAAAATCACTGGGTATTGTTCCTCTGAATCCTAGGGCTATTTCTTTTTCTTGCATAGTGACTTTAAACCTACAACATGCATACAGTCTGATCTCCAGAACCAAGAGCTTCCTTCCCAGGTGAGGTCTTAAGACTAGGCTTCAGTTTCAGATGCCTTCCTTTCTCTGTGCTTGTTCAGGGTAACCTACAGCAATAATTCAATGCTCTTCTGCATTGATTGGAATTCTCTCAAGTGTCCATCTTTACTGGCCTATGGTATAAAAGGGGAAAGGAACCAGTGCTAGTATAGTGCTGAGGAGGCCAGAGGACCTGGATTTAAACAGTTCTGCTCATTGCCCAAGTGGGCTAATCATTCAAAATTTGCCTCCCACCATTACCAGCTGGCACATGAACACATACTGGCACAGCGGTCAGCCACCTTCAAGGTCCTGCCTTTTTAGATCATCCTTGCCAGCAGCTGTGACCCAAGAGTCAGACCTTCCCCAAGGAACTTTAGAAAGCCTGTTGCCACAAGCATTTGCTTTGTGGGGCTCATTTGTGCTTTACAAACCCAGTGTTATCGGCTGTTTGTTTCATGACATCTCACAAAACTTTGCAGGAGTTCTGGAAGCAAGGGTCTTTTCCAGATCCGCTCAGTATGAGATATTTTCAGGGACATGGCCCACAGACATGCAGCAATTCATGTTACCACAAGAGGGTGAGGACAGACATAATTTGTGTGGAAGTTGAGTGGGTGAAGGAACTGAAGGTTTAGTTACTGGCCATGGGTTTTCTGCAGGGACAAAACAAAAATATGCTTCCTTTCTGCACTCAACAGTCACCAAGACAAGGTTTGCTTCCTTCAGTATGTGAGGTTGTATTTATCTTCACAAAGTGAAACTCATTATAGCTGTGCAGAGACTCTGTTTATGACAATATACTATCTTTATTAAAAAAAAAAATCAAGCAAGGTTAAAATAAAAAGGTTTCCTTCTCAGGAACTGTGGACTCAAAACATTTTGAGCTTAATAATTCATGAAGGCTACCATAATGGAACAGAAAATGTGGAGACCATGTACAGAATCCCATGGCTGGAATAAAAAAAAAAAAGGATTATGCAGATCTTCCTTTGCCTTGTGTTTTTGCCACCCACCTGCCTTAATACTTCATTCTAAGAGACCTGAGAAACAAAAGAGGACACGTAAGTGATGCTATTTTTACAAGTTCCTTAAAACCAACCATGCTGATTTGCCTCAGTGAATTGGTCTAAATCCTACCTTTTTCTTCTTTCCGTTCCCCATGTCTAGGCATAAATATCAGCTGCCTCGTAGATATGGTGAGATCAGGGATCTTCTAAAGCTCATTTCTTCCGTTTCCTTTTGCTAAATCTCTCAGCCCCAACACTGTTAGAGAGGGGTGGTGCATCTCAGGAGGATCTGCCAGGGTCAAAGACTTGCACTGATTTTCCCCTTGTGAAAACATCCGATTCCAGTGAAGTTATAAGTCTGAAAAAAAGTCTTGCACACTGAAAATCTGATCAGGACAGGACTATAGTAGGTAGAGATGGAATGTGAGAACTGCCTTTTCTTGCTCCCCAGTGCTGTGAGTTTCTGAATAGGACTCTCCACAATGAACTGTGCCATAGCTCAGGGCCCGTCTCCCATGGAAAATGCCTCTTTAGAGAGAGGTGTAACCAGGCTACTACACTAAGGCTCACTGACAGAACATGGACATAGAGGCAAGTGTGAATACATGTATGAGATGTATACTTCTAGTAGCACACTGAGAATGACATAGCTGCCTTAGAGCAAATTGTTACTTTGCTCCCTAGCAAAGGATCTCATACTTCTGCTAGTCTTTCTTATAGTGGTCCCAGTGACTTCTGCCCCTTCCACCCTTACTTCTGACGTAGGGCTACCCATGGCTGAGTGGAGAGCTGTGCAGAGCTCTGCCCACAGGGGCTATGGAGGCAAGCTCTTAGTGCTGCTGTTACCTTCTTCATAGATACAGGTGTAATGGGAAACTGCAACGTGCACACCAGTTTCTTCACAGTACCAGTGAAGTTTGGAAGAGAAAGCTCACATGCAGATTTGAAATCCAAACGACGCCCACCAAAGAATGAGAAAATTGCCCCAAAATCACACAGATTACGTATGTCAGAAAATAGGGAAATTGTTGTGACTTCAGAAAAATATTGCTGGGGGGGGGTGTGTGTGTGTGATCTTTTCCACCTCTGCTTGAATATGTCACTCATGTTGTTCATATTTTGTATCAAACAACAGAATAACTTCTGCTATTTCAGGTCAGAGGTTTTGAACTAGGCATTTACTGAGTTTTCCTGGAATGCATTTAGGAATCCTTATTTTATATACCTTGGAAATAATGGTTTTGCTAAAGATAATCAGATACATTTTCAATTAAGCAGGAATCAAAAGTAGACATTTTACCCAGTTAGAAAGGCAGTCTAAGAGCATGATTCTTCTGTCTCTCCCTGGAAACACTCGTAACCTCGTAAGGGTGACATGCCAGGCTCTATTTTCTCTCCCTAATTAGACACTAAGTGTTAAGGAGCAGAAGCTTAGTAGAAGCCAGCACATGCTGCTGGTCGAGAGGCAGAAGGCTGCCCATCTCACTGGTGGTGCCTGAGGCAGCAGCTCTCGTGTGGTCAGGAGTCAGCAGGAGCCAAAATAACCCTTGCCCATAAAACAGCTCCTTCTTTTAAGACGCCAGGGCTCCCTCTCACATGTCACTCAAAATCTGCCTGCATGCTGCCTCAGGCACCAGCACCACAGGCCAGGAGTTTAGGTCACAGAGTACTGATGCTGTCAACACTACCAAAGCTGGGATTTAAAAGAAACTCTTCTTCATTTCATTGTAACTGTACACAGAAACGTGAAGCTGAATCAACCTAATGATTTTCTAGGGTTGTTATTGCAACCTGACCGCCTTGCACAAGTGAACAGTATCACTGAAGACTGTAACGCTGATCCCGTGAAGAGAATTAGCCGCAGGCACTGAATGACTGCAACTACAGAAATACCACCACCTATAAACAGATCAACAGTGCTACTTTATCCAGAATTTACCTACTGTGATTGTCACCTTCAAACTGTTTTCACACATTTTTAGTGGGACCTGTATGGAAAAATGCACTGATGGTCAGGGTAATGGAGTCCTTTAATATCTCCAAGACTAGTCTTATTATTTCACAGATTATTTATGTTACCAGGAACCCTAAGGATGTTATGGTTCCTTACTACCACTTCTCCAAATTCATGTCCACACTAGAGGAAGTATGAGATTTTAACCTTTTTATGAGAGATTTTTAGCTGGCAAAGGTAGGATATCTTTTTTACTAAGGAGCCTAAATCCTATTCCATGACCTCCGATTGAGTGGAGATTAATTATATCAGTAAATATCAATTACCAGATTCCTCAGCTATGCTGTAACCTGAATCCAAAGCTATAGAGGCTATCTGAGCTTGACACCAAAAGCTGGTCCAAAGGGAGTAGCATAGTCATGGCTTTGCTGCTCCCCAGGCACGCTGCTTATTTTGTCCAAATTGGATGCTGACTCCAAATATAAACATGATGACTGAAAATCTCTTAACACTTTCTGTACTTGGTTAGTGGAGCTGAACCCATAAGAATAGACACAGTACAGCAAAGACAGAGAAGTAGATTTTTTGCTTCTGCCAGTATTAGTTCAGATTACTAGAAACAAAAGGGGAGTTGCCACAGTAGCTCAGAGAATTTTCACAAAGACTGTGAGCATGCATCCCTCAAATTATCAGAAAATGTTATTTAAAAAAACCCTTGCAAAGACCTAAATGACTGATAATTTTACTGGTTTACTGCTAGCTGCTAATAGTATTTCTCTTTATTCGTTTTAACAATTTTCCTTGCTAAGTACCTGCTGGTTTGTGGCTGGATCACGTTGCAGGCTGGTACACTCATGCAGAGGATTTCAATATACTCTTCCTTACCTATGAAGAAATGAAAAAGGTGAGGTCAATTAGTATCACTGTATCCAAGATATTCTCTTCCTATATTGAGTGGATTTTCAGACAGCTCTTTATAATTACATTTCATATTGGAAAGTGCTTAATTCATTGTGGAGTAGATTCAAATTGAGACTTCTGAGAGGATGAAGTCATTTGTCTCGTTGGTTCAAGGTCTTATCAATTACTAGACAATTATTAGGTAAAACACTTCCCAATATGACAGAAGTTATCTTCACTGCCACCCCAAAAAACCCTTTCTGAAATAGTACGGAACAAGACTTTCGCAAGTATCTTCAACAGGAACGTTGTGCTCATAAGGACAGTTCCACTAAAGGAAAGGAGTGCTTAAGAGGCAGGCTTTAAAGTACTTGAGAAGCTCTCAAATTGCTGACCAGAAGTTTCCTGCTTGGTGCCAGCCCATGCCTTTGTGTGACTTCTCTTTTCTCCGAGGTGGGTGCCCTTCTCCTCACAGGCAACCCCCAGAGCGCCCCGGCCATGGCAGCGCAGCCCACGGCACATGCCACTGCACCGGTCCCTCACCCTTCGGAGCCTGGGGTCGCTCATGTCAAGTCCCTTGCTAGGACAAGACTGACAAAACCCCCATGGGTTGAGTGCCTTCACAGCAACAGGCGCGATTCCGGGGTGACTTTGCCAGTGCATCTAACACAATATGCAGACAGGGTTTGCAGCACGGGGAGCAGAGCACAGAATTCCCAATCTTCCATGGGCACACTGCTGCAGTGAGCTACACCATCACTGCTCTCCAGTATTCAACTAATGCAAATGAGACTATGCTCACATAAAAATGATCAGTTTTGCACCCAACATATACATCCTTCATTATCCTGTATTCCACTACTGTATGCATTTAGTTCTTTGCATCATCAAGACTCTTCAAAGTAACATTATTGCAGGATCTCAGAAGCACTGTGCTGAAGATCTGCAACTTCCTAGGCAAGAAGCTGAGCAAGGAAGAGGTGGACAGAGTTGTGAAACAGGCTGCATTTGAGAACATGAGAAAAGATCCCAGGGCAAACTATGGGAACCTGCCAGATGACATTGTAGCAAAAGGCAAAGGTAGTTTTCTACAAAAAGGTAAAGTGGAAGCAGTCCGATGCAACAACTATTTAATCCCATACTTCTTGGTGTGAGATGAACCTAGGGTTTCTGGTCTCAGCTGGAATGCCCCATTTTCAGAGGCTGAGTTCAGGTTGCTAGCAAATTAAATTTATAAAAACAGTTTTACTGACATGGCATCAGTGATTTTACCGTGTTTTCCTGAGGATAATAAAAAGGTAATGTTTTACTGATTGTAATGCAGGTTGTAACAGGCCTGTCAGATAAAGGAACGGATTTAAGGGTTGTACCGAGCCAGGGTAAGATACTTTTTTTTACTGTTTCTTACTTTTCAAGGCAAGAGTCACCTTAATGGTGTGAGTACAGACCTTCTTGACGAACTACCTTCCCAGTCTATACATGGCATCCCTGGGCTCCTGGGCATTGCTAAGATGTCCTAATGCTCAGTGTAGGAGGACACCTCCAGGGATTAAAGAGAGTGGTACACTGAGAGAAAAACAAGAGGTGTTGCTTTTAATAATTTCCTCTTTGATCTCAAAGGAATCAATAAAACACCAGAACAAATGAGTTGAATAACTTTATGAGCAATCAGGATTATAGGTCTGTGCTGTTTTATTCACAGCGCCTAGATTTGGAAGCATGCCCTCAAAAGAGCTCACAGAGCCCCACTTGGCAGGCCAGCAACAGGGAGATGCCGAGGAAGCCAGGAATGGCTTCCCAAGACTAGCACTCACTGTCTGCAGTGAGCTTCAGGGGTGCACGTTCTGCTTCTCACCTCTCTTCACTGCCTCCTTCCTCAGGCACTATTGGGAGACTGGAAAAACATCATGACAGTGGCACAGAGTGAAAGGTTTGACAAAGTTCTTAAAGAGAAAATGAAGACCCTGCCCATCAAATTCATCTGGGATATTAACAATGAAACATAGGCTGGTTTTGAGTTTCATCATCCTTTCATGTTTACACTGGATGGACATACCTGAATTCTGGAAGAAGAAAATACATCCATTTTCAGCTATGTTGTAGAAATAATAACGATGATAACTCAGTCACAAAATGTGAGTTGTCCAAGGAAGCTATTCAATTCCACCAGTTTCCTGTTTGTAACTTTACAAGGTATTTTAATTTACTTTCTTAGTAAACGGACTTCCTTTCTTCATGTTTGCTTTTACTTTCATTGGCTTTAATAATACCAGAGTTGCAGACAACCAAGTGAGGATAGATTGCTGTTGCTAAAAACTTTCTGAAAAATGTTTCACTTGTGCATTTTGTGAGGCTTCGTTTGGTAGAACCTTCAATGTCCAGACTGGAAGTAAGATTGACCATCTGTGGTATGGTTATGCTTTGATATGTTTGAGTTCCTGTTTTCTTGGTAAACACTGATACTCAACCGTTTGCTATTAAAGTGGCCTTATGTTGCATTCTCTGCTGTTGCCTATTGACGAAACACTTCATTGCATTGTCTGTTATCATTCTCGAGGTCACATCTGACAATTTGCTACTTGAAATATTGAGAAAAAACACAAGCCATAGTCATAGCAGTTTTTAAGTGAATGTCCACTCTATCATACCTGATGATCTGGTAGAGCTACTGATGTAAAAAACTACCAGCTATCTATGACTACATCCTTCCTCATACAGTCATTCATTCACTATCATGACAGGTTTAACCTGTCCATGATTCAACTCAACACAGTGGCTTGCCCATGGGCTTCCCCAGAGAAGGTAAGTACAGAGACATATCTCAAGATTTTTTTCTATCACCAACTCAAAAAATATGTGCAAATTCAGCAACTCCACTCCTGACATGCATCTGGTCTATGATATATTCACCTTTGTAGACAGTAATGCCTTTTATGTTGCTTACAAAGGAAGTCCAACTACTGCGTATTTCTCAACTCTATCCATTGAAACTACTCAAAAACTAGAGCAGTAGTTCCTCCCCTCCCCATGTACATACCGTTAAGTCTCTGACACATCTCTAGCATTTTTTTCCCCTCCAATAATCATGCATCCCTCATCATGATGTCCAATCATGATGTCTGCATGACCAAACTATGGTGACTGCTTTCGGTTGCTATTGAATCAATGTCTCACCAGTCAGTCACAGCAGGATATAACTTCTAATTTCAAAAACATTTCAAATAATCATTTTAATTTGACAATGAACATCTAACCTTGGCTTTCCCATAAACTGTTTGAAAAACGTAAAAAATCCTTCCAGTCAGCATACTGGCTTGTTTGTTAATGTCTACCACTGGTCCCAAGGGACCAGCTAAAACCCACACGTTTTAGCCTTCTGATACATTGTACCTGCTTTTTTCCTGGACAGAATTACTTCATGCACAGCATGCTGTTAGCTGCTATTAGGCAAATGTGACCTCATATAATTAACCTGCAAGAAGACTATTTCCATGTCCTTCAATGGTACAGCCAGACCACCTTTTTTTCTGGAACTTTGCATCCCCAATACCAAGAAAATAAGTTACAAAAAAAAATGCCTTAATGTGACTTATGTAACCACTGCATCCCCTGACCTCTGACTCTGAACTTCCCCCAAGGGGACCAGTGACCTTTTCCACCTGTATATATTTACCCTGGCCTCAGAAAAGGTAAAACTAGTTCAAAGTCAGAAGCCTAACGCAGGCCTTTTGCTGAGTTTGCCGTAAGTACAAACAGAACTCCTGATTACAAGTAGGACCTTGACCTTTACTCGTTTTCCAGTGACAGGAAGCCCCAGCACAGTAATGAAAGTCACACAAACTTCACACTACCCTGTATGCCACAGCCCAGCGGTATCAGCTCGCTCTATCAGCTGCAGATTTCATGAGCGTGCAGTGCAGAAAGTAAAACAGAGTTCATGGCAATAAAGGCAATTATGTCAAGGAATTGAACCTGAAAAGCCTTTCCCCTCTTCCTCCTACCGCAAGCCAAGTTGTGAGGTGCTAAAGGACTAATTAAAAAACCAAAACCAAACCAACCAACCAACCACCCACCCACCCCCAAAACAAAACAAAAAAGCAGTAATATTTCACACCCTGTCAGGTTCTATAACATGAGAGAGAACACTCACACAACAGCTCTTTCTCTCCAGATCTAGGGTATCATCATCTTGGATCCAGGCACAGTCTACTATCTGGTCCAATGAACTTTGAATTTCAGTAACCACACAGTTTAAAAACTGGAGGTAGCATGATGGTTGTAAGTCTCCTAGAGGAAAGACTGAAGTTGATTCTCCCCACAGGAATTGTACTTCAAGCTCCCCATTTTTTACCAAAATACACTGACCTATTAGAAAAAGAAAAAAAGAAAGGGGTAGTATACTCCCCCCCCCCCCCCCCCAGGTTTTGTTTGCTTTAAAGCAGACCATAATGCAATCATAATTTGGATGCAAAATCCTAGGCTTTGCAGCATGCCCAAGATTGTACACCTGCAGCATCTTGATGTGGTGGGTACCATCCTCTGAATTTTAATAGAGTTCAGGCACCAACTATTCAAAAAGTTCAGCATGATCAAAACTAAATTAGCTCTGCTTGTAGGGCAGTGTTGCAACTCATAATGATCTCCTTACAAGCATTACAGTGTAGCTTTGGACTTGGAGAGTAAAAAGCAAGATACAAGCAAGGTTGTCAGCACCATGATTTTGAATTACTACAATTCCATCAAAGTTTACCAATGGAATTTGATTAGATTAATATGAAGTAGACTGCAATCTAATCCAAAGTGCCTAAGTAAACTTTAAGTATCTTACCTAAACTTCTTCCACCAAAAAAAACCTTATCAGCCCATTTCAGCAAACTAAAACACGCAAACATAGCCAAGCTTACTCTCAGTCAAATTCCCTTTTATTTCACAGATGTTGATTGCTAATAAAGCTAAACAAATCTGAAGTTCAGACTGAGTCACTGAAACTTGTTCCAAAGACCTGGAGGAATGGACTTTATGCAATTTTTTGTCATTTCAACCCTTATTATTTCCTCTGCTTTGAAATATAAGATGTAACAGTGAAAATACATTTTCACATTTGAACTTGTTTGACATCTTTTAGCATTTTTAAGCTATACATCCTCTGCATGAAAACCAATAAATACGTTAGTGTGAAAACAGACTAGAAAATCTCAATAATCTAGAAAAAACATTAACGAGAAACTTTTTTTCCATACACAGATGATCTTTGTCAGTGACCCACTTGGAAAATTTTCGCAGATTACCATGTTCTGCACAGACTACACAGCATTCTTGGATTCAGTCCAGATTTAAAGACAACTAATTCACCGTTCACGAAAAAATGGTAGTTTTAAACATACATAGCTGAAAATGGAAAACAGCCTTAAGAGTTAAATGCTTTTATGCAGCTGAATTGGGACATACCAGAAGTAAATTAAGTTCAGTCCTGAACAGCATTTTAAAGCATACTAGCAATTACACACGAAGCTGGATGTAGTCACTATGAAGCTTTCAATCCAACCATATCTTTGGAAAAGTCAGATTTAATATCACATTAGCTCACAATTTTTTTAATATATTTGGTAACTCTGCTGGAACACAGACCTTGCTTATTGCTTTGAAACATACAACATTATCTAGATGTTTGTCTAGAGTTCTTAGTAGCCAAAAATAAAAAGATCAAATAGAGGACAGTAGGAACAAAGGCACATGGTTAATTTATAAAAAGTATTTACAGGGTACTTGAACATTTATTTCTATCTACTAGAAACTCATTCATCTTGAATACAAAAAGAAAAGACTACTGAAACATGTTAAGGGAGATCATCCTAAACAGATGTTCTCAAGCGATATGAGCAGAGAATCTCACACATCATTAAATTATCTCCGGAATTAAATTTCTCATTTTGAATATAGAATTTCCAAATATTGAAGTTCATAAATTTATTATTCCTCTAAGCACTGTAATACTTTAGTGCAATCCTCTTCAAAGGTTGAAGCTGGGCAGTTAAGGCAGTCTACTAACAGTGTTTTAAAATTCAGCACAGTGTTTAATCATTGAGGTGCCTGGTAGTTCTTTACTTGGAGAGCTGTCTTTTGAAACCTTCATCCATACCGTCATCCTTCTAGCTGATGCAGTCTCAAACACAGCATGTTTAAACACCACCGTTCTTGCAGTGTTTTGGGTTTTTTGGAGGTGGGAAGGGAGGAGTCGTCTAACATCAAGCCATTAGCTCCATAAGCGACTCTGCAGGATGGTTAACATGCACGAGTTGATGTGTGGCTTTACTGTGTGTTGTGCTAACCTTTATGGGCTGCCAACACGATGCTTCTAGAACACCACCCGTTACATTCAAACTATAAGCACTCTGTAAATCCCGGTACTGTATTCTGCACTCCACTCACAGTGTTTCAGCATAGTCTGTTGCAAAGCAAACTAATTTTCCTAGAGTGGGGTTTCTTCTTTTCCATGGAAGTTCATTGATGACCAAGTTCACAAAAAAAAAAAACCAAAACCCACCCCCCAAAAAACCCTCTCTGAACAAATCAACCAAACTTTTTAAGTGCACTTCATCTCATTCTGAATTTTTTCCTACAGACTTGAACTAGTCATTTTGAAACTATTATCCTCAACTACAGCAGAAGATTTTACTCTAGTAGTATGGAAATGGTTTCCACTAAACTTTAATAAGGCTGTGCCTTATTAAAAGGTGACTAGTGCTGCCTATCTACAGCTGACAGGTTGGGGCACCGGAACTGACCTGAAGTGTTATAAAATTCCACAATAGGAAACAAACAAACAAACAAAAACCCAACACCCCCCTGCCTGCACATTATACGATCCCTTTTATTCACCAAAGCTGCCCATGTATATCCTAGGTGGAAGATAGCAGAACAGCTGCTCAGCCTTCAGATGCAGGTGTTTAGCGCTTCCTATATCTTTCCATCTTGCTCGATGTCACATCTCTTCAAAGGACAGTTACAGAAATGGGAAGGAAAAAATAAGAGAAAATAGAACAGCATTTTCAGACAGATCAATATTCTTCAAATTTTTCATTTGAAATATTAAAGTAAATTTATTTATGATGAAAGTCATCAGAAGACCATTCTCCTGGATTTAAAATATTTTGGTTTTTTTCTTTGGAAAAAAAGAAAAAAGAAAAAAAAAAGAAAACCGATACACTTTACTAAAACCACAGATGCTGTGGCTTTCCTGTCTGCCTCTCTCTCCTTACATATGTCCATACTGATGACAGAGCCAGTTCAAAAAGGTCTAATCACTATCTAAATTAACAGGGTTGTAGTCAGGGTCATCCTCTTCATCCTCCAACTCTAAATCATCCATTTCTTGGAATAAAGATTCATCAACTTCCACACTGTTTCCAGCTGCAAAGAACAGAAAAATAATTTATTTTCATGCAAGCAGAAAAACAGTACCTGAACAACAAAATACACAACACTTTTTCGTATTCATTATTCAATGTAGGTAGCTGTTAACTTACTTGGCTTTTTATATTTCAAATAGTTATGGAAAAAGAAATGCCACTTCTTATCTTTTTACAGCTAAAGTGAAGCTTTTTTCCCTCATACCAAAACCCAGTCAAGAGAAATGTCACACAGGACCTCAGAATCCAGTGGAAGAGCAAAGTTAACATTTATAGTTCCCAGAAGCAGAGATTCTTTCTCCCAGGTACCGTCAAAGTAGGAGGCTCAGGACCCCACAGCTGGAACAGTTACAACTGTCATAGCCACAGAAACATGTAAGGTTTATTAATAAAGAGCCTTACACACCATTTACATATCTAAGTTTGTTTTCAGATTTAAATTTTAAAAGCAAGATGAATGTTTGTATGCTTTCACATTTTCTTCTGAAAGAGATGATGCTGACCTAAGGATAAAACTTGAGGACCATTGCTATTTTATTTGTGCGTATCAACAGTGACATCTTCCGGCCACTGAATAGGTTTCTGTTCTTTCCCTGGATTTGAAAAAGCCTTTATAACCGTTTCCATCTAAAAGATAATGCCATTATCCTGTTTAAGCTGTGAAAATTAGTATTACTTATTACACGCTATTGTATTACTAAATTGCAGCTAGTAACCTGTTGCATTTATGATAGAATGCAAACAACAACAAGGACAGTTTTTAATCACCGATAGCAACGGGATTAAAAGCTAATACATTAATCCCAAATCATTTGGGCACAGAGCCCAAATACAGAGGTCTGTTCCTCCCGAGACAGCCAAATGTTCCATCAACAACCCATCTTCACTTTAGGCACTTTGGAGGAAGACAAGGTTAAATTATGCCCTCTAACTAAAAGAAACTCAACTCCCCCATTACTGCCATTTCAAGTTTATACTCACTGATGTTCATAACAACTTTTTTTTTTGTTACTTGCAGAGAAAATTCTTGACTCTTTTGCATGTGTTTTGCAATACCAGTAGATAATGCAGCTACATTAAAGAATTGTCTTAACTCAAAAATCAGTCTTTTAAACTAGGATACTAAAAGGCAGTACAGAAAATGAGAGAGAGAATGTGACTATGAATAGATTTGATTTATCTCCAACAGATTTTCCAAGTTCAATATCTTTTGGCACAGGCTTACAAAATTTTCAGCTAGCACCAGGTCAAGTATTTTCGGTAAGATACTAGACAAATCTGCACAGAAACACGAAGAACAACTGGGTTGCACAGAGGCAAACAGCATTTAATTTGACCTGCCAGAAGTTTACTATTGGTGTTGAGGTTCAGAGAGAAGGAAACACAACTTCAAGATCTGTACCTGAAATCAGGGGTAAGAAGGCTGGCTATTAGAAAAAAAAGGAAAAGCAGGGTTTGGTTGTGGTTTGGTTTTGTTGTTTTGCTTGGTTTTGGTTTTGCTTCCAGTCCAAACGCTTCAACAGAAGTAAGATCAACTCAAGCCCAAAACTGCAAATAAATATGCTTTAGCATCTTAAAAATGTTGTTTGTTTGTTTTTGAAAGAAGTTAAAATCACTTCTGTTCAATCTGCAAAACAGTACTTCTTAGAACGTTCTTCCAATGTAAAAGTGACACTGAGGTAAGTTGTTAAGTCAGAAATATAATACAGATTTTGCTTAGGAATTTTGACCTATTTTAAGCCACTGCCTTTCAGTTGTGGAAACAAACAAATATTTACCTTCCTCCAAGAACTGGATGTCAGAGGTGTCAAGGTTGTGATCCATTTCAAACAGCTGTTTACCTAGCAATAAAATAAAATTTAAAAAAATATAAGCAAGTAGAATTATGAAATAACTGTCAACCTAAGGCAACAACAGTTAGCACATGTATTTTAGGCTTTTCAGATTAACCAATTTGAGCAGGTTTTTCTTTCTTTTTTTTTTTTTTTTTTTTCCCCCAGCTGCTCATTTCTGTTAAGTCCCCCTTTCTGTTTTTTTGACTATTCATCCAGGATTCTTCCATGCCAACAGGCCTCCTCCTCTTACATGGGAAATGGGTCACTGTTTCTTATAGTTACTTCAACGTTACTAAGGCTTTAATAACGTGGGGTTGGAAAATTCACACCGTACTGCCCCACAGCCTTTGCTCAGTCTTTATTGCTTTAGTCTTCATCTCGCATTCCACAAGAAATCCTCTATGGGAACTGGAAAGGAAATTAGCTGCCTCCTCCATCTTTTTCCATATATCCTCCCCATTCAAAAAGCAACTTGGACCTACACACAAATCACCAGCTCCTACACACACACACACATCTGTGAAGGAAACATCACACAAGGCAAATGGAAGCCTTTCTAATTGGGAGGTAAAGGAAGAAAAGCTCAGGACTCTTTCCACATAAACTACCCATCTTCCATCTATATTTGCGTTGCTTACACAAGCTTCCACCAACAAGACTGGTTAGTGTTCATGGTAAAACATTTAAGACACCTTTTACTTCTACTGGGGTTGCACTCATGACATCTGAAAATAAGCCTGTTTTTAGTTTTGCAAAGGGAAGCTTCTATAAACTAGACTTGTATAGAGGAAAATAGACACAGCATGCTGACAATAAGTTTAAGAACAACAAAACTAGAAGCAGCTGAATTTCTACTCTCTCATCTTTGTAGATTCCCAAATGCACTCCCTTCAGAGGGGAATCAAGCATGTTGCCTGCCCTCTACAGCTTTTCATGAAACTTACTACAACTAAACTTTCCATCTCTCTGTCAAATTTCATTAAAACTAGCCAAAAGTTTCAAAAGCCTTCAGAAGACAGGAGAGAAGATAACACTGATACAGCACAATCACATTGGTCATATTTTCTCAGGTAATCAGGTTAAAAAGTAGATCCAACATCACAAGAGAAGCAGTCCGAAGTTAAGCCGTGGAGAGTGTGGAGGAGGATGCCCAAGATTTAAGTTTTACCTACAGGTTCTCATAAGAAAAGTAATTTCCTCCACATTTTGCCCACTGGATACAGAGTTTACTTTCTGCTGGACAAACTGTGATCTACAAAACAGAGCCTGAAACCACTGCTATGACAAGCTCTTCCCCAAAATATCAGAGCCATTCTCACTAGTCATCATAAGCTTGTCATATGCAGCAGCCAGCCTCTGTGTTGCTTCAGTCCAGCAACAGCATCCCGAACTCCTACATGCGCTTGAATAATCTGAAGTCACTGTACAATCCAGTGCAATAAAGGCCAAATCAATAAACTGTCTGATGTAGACTCTTCCTGTCGCTTAACAAACCCCAACTATTTCTCCCAGAACAACGCTTGTCAGTAGCAGCTCCAAGTGGTATACTGTCTGGCACAAAACCAAAGAAGCTTAAACACACAGTTGGGGAACCTTAATGACTTCAGCAGAAATTCTGCATCTATTAGCTTTGTATTAAGCCCAAAATCAGCACTCAGAAAGACTTCATGCGACATGGAGGACAACAATCAAATCCTGCATTAAGAGTTTATTTACTACCATCATCTTTCAGTGTAAAAATTACTTTTAGGCTTGTCATTACAGTCTGGTACCATTGCAAAAACTTCAGGACCAGTTTTAAATCATACCGCTTAATTTATTTTTGCCCGCTTGTTCTTCTTCTTTCATTTTTTTCCTTTTTATTTCTAGGAGTTCTGCATCAAACTTCGCTTTCCAATTCAGGAAATTCTCAATGGTAACAGGAGTGCCATGAAAACGTTGCTGAAAGAACAGAAAACAAGGCTGCAAACACAACTTGCAAAGCTACGAGTGAAGATGAGCATTCTCTTAATTATTTAAATTACAACCTTCCAGAAGCACTGCTTGCTGTGAAGTATTCTGAGAAACTAATCCTAACCCTGAGAATATACAAAGAACATATTCTTACTGTTTTTTGTCATGGGACTCTCCCTTCAGAGAGCTGTACCGAGGTGGAAATTCTTACGGAAAAACCCTGTTTACTACTTTTGGACGTACAGTGCAATAGTTAGCTACACACCACTAATACAGGTTATCCGTAAGTAGGCAGCACTTCTTATAGAATCACAGAATCGTTTAGGTTGGAATAGACCTTTAAGATCATCCAGTCCAACCATTAACTCTTAAGCGCAATCTACACCCAAATATTTTCCATTAAAATACATTAACCCTTCTATCTTGTTGAGACAGAAAAAAGGATTTTTTTATTCCAGCTATTTTTCTACCATTTTCAGAAATACTGAACCTTCCAAGTCCTACCACCCTCTAGCTATTTCTGAGGAAGAAAGTGAAGATTCAGTAGTTGGACTTATCACAGCACATTGCATGAATGGAAAAACTATTCCACAGCAGCTGGTAGAAAGGACACATGCTGGGAGGACAAACCAGTCTTGAAAACTGGTCCCACTGCTTCCACCCTACTCACTCAGTCTACTAAGGAAGAGAAACTTCCTCAGACCGTGCAGCCTGTGTGCAGCATGCCATATTCTTGCCTTTTTTGCTCCCCATGCCCTCTTGCCTCTTCAAGCAAAAAACTGGCTACAGCAACTTTGATTTCATGTGGGAAAAATCCCTGCCCCTGCCTTAGGAAGTAATGCTAGAAGGGACTGTGAACATGCAATAAGTCTCTGAAGAGACTGCTTTAGTAAATGGGGGAGGGAGAGTGGAGAATCTCTTACGTGCACTAAAGAATTTTCTAGTCCTTAAGTTTTAATTATATCAACTTTGGGATAGATGTTCCTCTCCACTGCAACTGAGAATTGCTCCTGCATCAAACCCACACATTTAAAAAAAGCAGGAAATTTTTAGTTGAAAACATTTTTTTACATACTTTCTCTTCTTCTTCTGCTTCTCTTTCTTTCTGTTTCTTTTCTTCTTCTCGTCGTGTTTTTATTTGATCCACTATTTCATTTAATTTCTCCTGTACTGCTGAGACTAGAGTGAAGATCATTACCATTCCTAAATTTTCTTCTGCCTACAACACAAAGAAGGCAACTTCAATAGGAGAACCTCAAACCTTCAGCAGCTGAATGCATAAATACGTTTAGAAAGCAGTGCAGATAACGCAGCTGAGGCACTCTGCACCAGTCTCAAAAGCTCCCTGTAAAATACAACTCAGCTGGCCAGTTAAGCCAGTTAAAGTTACCCCCAAATGGCTGTGCAGCAAAACACCAACGATGAACACCTGTGTTCCAAGGTTATCAACATATTACAGACATCTGGAAGGCTTTTTCATGAATAAAACAAAACCTATAGTAGGAATATAGTTCCAAGATTTGAATATTACAAACCATAAGAGACAACAGTCACTCAGAACCTCTTCTGTCCTGAAATGGCTTATTCCTTAATCTCATTACATGCCCTTTTGAAGTGGGACAGTTTCCCAGGAAAAACAGAAAACATCAGTTGATGGAAGGAAGGTTTTATGAAGTAAACTGAAAAGAAAGAATGCCTACTGAACATATTATGGCAGCTTTAAGGCAGGGAGGACTTGTCAAGAATTCCTGAAACCAAAGAAGTGTTTCCTTCTCATTCCTTCACAATGCACTCTCACAGATCCCAAAGGCTGAAGAGATCCCCTTGCCCCCAAAATAGTGATGTTATTAAAAAGAATTGAGAATCAATGTAGCATTTTTTAATCTTTCCCAATAAAATTGAAGTGGCTTATTTCCACAAATGCTATATATGAGTTAAACAAATTCACCTTAAGCTAGAACTGCAGAACAGGGGAAGCCCTAGAGCACTTCCATTTCATTATCATACCTGTGCACACTGAATTAGCCCTATATTTTACCTCATTAACATAATTTACCTCAATAATGTCATTTACCAAACTCAAACCTCAAAGCTGGTCCCTACAGTATGGAATAGGTTTCAAATCAGTAGCACATACCTCAGAAAACAACTGATTTGAGACATAAATTTTGGCTAAAGTGTGAAGTGATATCAAGCTGAACTGGGATATTCCATTTTCCTTACCTGTTGTTCTAGTAGTTTTATTATGTCCGTGACATCATTATCGTCAAGATTCTCCTGTGAGACAATTTCATAAAGTGGAGTTTCATCAGGATATTTTTCTCTATAGGTAAATTTAAGGGTTGTTTGGACAGCTACAAGATAAAAAACATGTATTCTTATGGTGGTAACTCTACATAACTTTAATCGTATATTTTTCCGTTGCATCAGCAGCCTACAGATTTTTAAATATAAAATAGTCTTGTCTTAAAGGAACAGTCATCTTACATAGATGTTAAAACTATATGAACAGATTTAAATATAATGCAAGAGTTCTCAGAAATTAAGACCATGAAGTTTACCCTTACATAAACTATTACAGGCTATTAATGTCTGAAAGGTCTTTAGAAAGACTGGAAAACCTTCTGTGGCATGGAGGGTACTAAAGCAGTAATCTCTTTGCCCTCATATTCCACTTAAAGCTGGAGAAAAGGAGGAAGAGTCCTAACAACAGATCTAGAGAGAATCTCACCATATTAATGCCTTAAATTCTGCATGCCTCGCTGGTTGATCAACCGTCACCCCTGGGTACCAGGGCTCCACATAAATCATATGACAAAGACACAACATCCAGCGGAAGTTCTTAAGCACAGAACTGCCTAAGGAGAATGCATTCAACCTGAAACCACCCAGAGCTAGGGTAATATGGAAACAAGGAAAAAGAGAAACAAGTTCCTTTCACACATTCTGCCAGAATACCATGGAGAAGACCTCCTTCAGTTCCAGAATCACAGTTCCAGCAGCTCAGCAGTCTCTTCAACACAGACACCTGCTCCAAGGAGGACTTGCTCCTCTAAAACTGAAGGAGACAGCACCAGTTCCTTCCTTCTGATACAGTAACCCAGAACAGCAGCTCTCAAACTTACCTGGAGCAAGGCTTGCTTACAACAAGCCCATGCAACCATCGATACACAACAGATACACAGGGACTTGGGACCCACAGCTCTTTGCTCTAGAACTGTTCCTTAAGGGCTGCATATTCACAATACACAGACTCAACTCTCCCATGTGGCAGGTATACATACAGTTGCTAGAAAACAAATCACCTCACAACATGGCTGTAAGCTACTACAGGGACAATGACAACCCATATTTTTGAAGCTACGCTACGCTACGCTTTTGAAGCTAAGCTGAAGCATTTGAGATTCAGCACATCAGAAAGTAGCCCTAGTGAGAGCGTGCGACATTTCTGTAAACTAAACACAGATCACCAGAATCCCTGAACTACATTTTGTAAGGAATGCATGCTGGATCATGCCCCTAAAAGGACTTAAATAGAGGTATACCTAGTTGTTGGTGATAGAATTAGGCTTACACAGAAACTCCATGATCAACTTACTTTCATCATTTTCTCCCGCTTCAGATGTCACAGTGATTGTGAAAGTCGTTGGCTTTTCTGACAACACTGTTCAAAGAAAAGAAAAAGAAAAAAAAAAAAAAAAGAGAGAGAGAGAGGTTCCTTAAATCAGACAACTACTTCACATCATTAAAACTGAACTTCTCAAGGACTAATGAAGCAAGGAAGCTCTAGATACAGTGTTAAGGGTCTTTTTACCCTATTAATAAATACTTTTCAATTAACAGCTATTTTCCACGTGATATGATGTTTGGAGTGCTCTTTGAATGAGAGCATATAACATCAACGATACCAAAAAGTTTCTCTTTTGGAAGTTTCACTTTTCCAAAAAGCACAAATCTACCTACCATCAAATGACTTATGTTAGTGCACTGAACGTGTGCAGAAAGCTCCCAAAACTAATTTGCTTTATTGCACTAGACATGTGCGACAAGCATCCAGTGTACTCTTGACCCTGGACTATTTTTGCAGTATGTCTGCACCTATTTCTATATTTAGAACAGCTTAATGTAATAGATGCTTCTTAAATCAAAAAGGAATGCATAGTGCTTTCCTTCAAGAACGTACTACCCAAGTAATGTACTAGAATGAAATTGCATGAGTGAGGCAGCTAGAAGACAGGCAACAAGTGGCTCTACAGAGATGCACAAAATGCAAGCCCTGCAATCTAAAGTTTCACAGACTAGAAACCTCATCGCACAATTGCGGGTTGCAGACCATATCCTCAAATAAAGACTGCTCTGTATCACTGTTATAACCTATGTCCAATCTAGTACATATGTTTTCACATATTAATTGAATTTTTCCTAATTGCTAATGCAATACTACTATTACCATCTTTTTTCCTCCCTCTTATTTTGGGCATAAGAGCATCACATGAACGAACAATAACTCAGAGAAAGCTCTGGAGTAGAGGTTACATGAAAGTATATCACTTCCATATCAGTATCAGTGATTCAGCATACCCAGCCACCAGAGATCAATTCATATACCTTTAACATAAAACTGAAGAACCTAAAAGATTTTCAGATTAAAGCAATGAGCAAACGTACTAGGCAAACGTCTGCATGATGAAGTTACTGCCAAGTAAGATACAGTGGGACTTTGGGCAGAGCAGATACTGCGCAGGAAGGAAAAAGAAAGTGCACAGGTTTTTCTACCGTTGAAATTCTTTGCATACTGAGCACCATAAATCACGTTGGATTAGCTAGCATGGTAGATACTCTTAATTGTTTGATGGTAACTAGGAAGCCCTGAAAATCTGATGAACCAACGTATCAATCATACAAAAGTTTTAGCAATGTAACATACTGCACCCGGGAATTAAAGCACGGCTTTGTTCCACCACTGATCTGCAATGGAATAGGGCAGGTACTGGCGATGCGCTTACAGAGGGAACAGCATCTTTAACTACCCCAAAACACCCCGTGCTTCACGGCCGTGAGATGTTATCGGAAAGGAAAGCTGGTGGACACACTCCCCAATTCCCGCCTGGGGCCGCATCCCTGGAAAGGTTTCTCCAAAGAGCATCCTCCCACCAGCCACAGCTCGGGCTCA